AAATTATCTCCTCACTGAGCACATCAAGCCTGATGCTGAGCTCATAAATTCCGGCACAAATTATTATTGGCTCCAAGAGCCAGTTCAGAGTGGGGATTTTAATTGCCCAAGTGCCTGAGAAGTGACTTTGTGTGAACACAAAGGTCAGCCCGGGGAGGCCACAAGAAATATCAAATCTGCCAGGGGCACGTGGATCAGGAAATTTGTTTTTTGTTCTGTTGCAAATAAACAGCACTAAAAAAAAAAAGAAAAAAAAAGGTAGTTAAGTGAAGCAAATGGCTTTTTGTGTTTGACATGGAGACCTTTGGAGGGATAGGAGGAAACAAATATGTTCTGATGGTGAGGAATATAAAACATTGAAATACAGAACTCTGACCTGCACAGCAGCTTTTATAAAATCCAGAGCATCCAGCAGTTGTAATAATTTCCTATTAATTTCCATCAGCAGAAATGATAAGAAACACAATAAACGATGACCCAAGTGAGAAGGGCTCACAAAATCCAGGCAGGGAGAGTTTTTTGGGGTGTATTTCCTTGGATTCAGGGATTGGGCTGTTGCTCCAAGAGTCCCCAAACCCAACAAAGCAGATTTTGGCAGCAATCTTACCCTGCATGGAAATGTCCCAAAACAAAGCCCAGATGTCCAAAGGTAAAATCAGCAGCAGGAAAAAAATTGGGAGCTGGAAATCAAAAGGAAAACTGCCTGATGATGGAACAGAACAGCAAGTTTAATTCCAATTCTAAGTGTTGTCTTAAAATAATCTGCAAATCAGTTTATTCCAAATCTTTGGAATTCTATGAGTTTTGGAGGGGGTTTTTTTGGGTTTTTTTTTGGTTTTTTTTTTTTGAGATGGTTTTTAAACTTCAAATCACAATTTATGCCAAATCTATGGAATTGTGAGAGGTTTTTTTAATCTGAAAATTGCAATTTATCCCAAATCTCTGAAATCTTGAAAGGATTTTGAGGATTTCTCAGGTGTGTTTTAGGGGTCATTTGGGGTTTTGGTTTTTTTTTTTTTTTACATTTGGGGTTTTTAAAATTGCTTTCTGCTGTCCTTTAGGGAAATATAAAGACAAAAATCACAAAAAACAGAGAGAAATTGACTCCATGGAGGTATTTTAAATCAAGCAGCAGTGACAGAAGTGGCAGAGCAGAAACCTTCAGGTTTCATCCCTCCCTCATCATCAACTTTTTATTTTTTTTTTTGTGCCTTAAAACTAAGCCAGTTCCTTCCTAGTTCAAAACCAGTCATAAAAGCAAAAAATTAACTCTGCTAAGCCCCAGATAAGCTTGTTTGACTTGCAGCTCAGGCAAGAGGCAGGGATGTATTAATGCCTCTCACTAAGCAGCCTTTTATCTTAAAAAATCTTAAAAATTCAGGCAAAGCTGCCTTTGGTCCCAGCTGCACAACTATTTCTGTTCCAAAACCTGCTTCTTTTGCTCAAAGTGTGTCAAATATTCTTTTCCTGAGTGTCTGAGGCAGCCTTGGGCAGCACAGGGCACTGGGAATTCCAGCCAGGCTCCCAAATCTCTCTGGGCTAAATGAGCTGGGCCAGCCTTGCCATGGAGAGTGAATGAGATAAATAAGGGGCATTTTCAGGCCAAAAAAAAAAAGAAAAAAGGGTCTTTCCCTGGTTTTGGAATGATTTGGGCACGCCTCAGTGAGCTGAAAAGTCTCTTCAAAGCCGGTCACAGCTTCTGAGGGAAGAAATTGAGGATGTGGCAGCAGAACTTCCCAGGAATTAGGAGTTTTTAGTCCCACAACACATCAGTGACCTGGAAGTTTTACAGCCTGGGCTCTGGAATATCTCAAATTAGGGAATAAAAGATGAACTGCTCCTGAATTTATCAGTCCCATGGCTTGCACAAGGTGGGAGAGAGGTGCTCCTCCTACCTGGCCATCCTCACCGTGCCTGGATGCACCAGGAAGGAGCCAATTTGTTCCTACTAAAGCCTCCCAACCTCCTCAGAAACATTTAAAATGACACATTTCCCCTCTAAAAAGGGGAGGAGAAATTTGTAGAGATTTCTACAGAAATTTAAATTCACCTTCTTCACTTCCTGTGTAAGATATTTTTATCAAAGATTTTTTAACTTAAAGCACTGGGATTAAGCAGCCTTGGCACAGCACTAAGGGCAGGGAGAAAAAAGCTCTTTGCTACTTAAGTTGCTTTTAAAAGTCCACTTCCACCTCGCCAGGATACATTTAAAATAATATCCTGAACCTCACACCTCTTTGTCAGTTGATTTTCACAAGGCCAGAGGAGTCAGAGCAGGAATTTTAACCCAGCAGCTCCTTTTGCAAAATCAGGCCCAATTTATTCTCTGCTGTTACTTGAACAGCACCAAAAGGTGCAAAATTAAAGAGGCAGAAATTCCAGGCAGGAACTGAGTTCCTACAAAAACCTGGGGCTGGGCAGAGCCATCAACTGCAGGCTTAAAATCCTACAAATTTTCATGGATATGAAGAACTAAGTGCATTCCCCATTTCTGTCCCCTGGCAGCCCTGGGGGAGGTCACAGCACACATGGGAAGGAATAAAAGAGAGGAGGCTTTTCCCTTCAGGCTGAAATCTTCGGGATAAAAGGATAAAATCCACTTCCTAAAAGCCAAAGAGCTGCTGTGAATCAGCTCCATGAGATCCAGGGGTGAAAGCAGAGCAGCAAAGTCCTGGAGCAGGAACCCTGAGGGAGCTGAGGAGAGGGAACAGTGCTGACAGGACAGGTGAGGAGAGCACACAAAGATTCAGGGAACAAAAAACTGCAAAAGCAGAGGCAAAGCAGAAACCAAGGGCAGGAAACAACACAGGGAAGAACATGGAAGAGCAGTGGCAGCAGGAAATCAATTCCTCAGGAGCCAGGAGAGGGGAAGCACAGAACACTGAGAGGATGAATCTGTGTGCAGCCCTGCCCTGACTGAAATTCCAGCTGCTAACAGGGTTAATTAACCCAAATCCTCATTTCTCTGCCATCCTTAGGCAGCTCTGAGGATGCCCAGGGAACTCAGCAGCTCTCAGGGCACCCTTTGAAGCCCCAAACTCAGCTGCCCTGTGGGATCAGTTTGGTGCTGAGAGGCATTTCCAGGAGCTGGGGTTGAAGCAGAGCTCAGAGAGCTCCAGTGGGGAATGTTCCCCATGGATTTGTGGTGGGGTCCTGCAGGGAAAAGCAGCTGCAGACTGTTTTCCCAACAGGGTCACACCTGGCTCCAGCAGGATTTGGGGTAATCCCACTCCAAAGACTGATTTTGGATCAGCAGTTTGGCAAGGAGCTGTCCTGAAAAACTGGGAGCCTTTCCCTGAATCCAGGCAAACCTTGGGATGAAAGAATTCACACCCTGGAGGTGCTGTCCTTGCTGCAGCTCTGAGGAGACTCACCTGAGAGCTGACCTGCAGGTGACAGACCCCAAAGCCACCCCAGAGCTGACAGACCCCAAAGCCACCCCAGAGCTGACCCTGCAGGTGATGGACCCCAAAGCAACCCCAGAGCTGACCCTGCAGGTGACAGACCCCAAACCCACCCCAGAACTGACCCTGCAGGTGACAGACCCCAAAACCACCTCCAGGTTTGACTGGACTGACCCTGCAAGTGACAAACCCACCCCGGAACTGACCCCACAGGTCATGGACCCCAAACCCATTCAGAACTGACGCTGCAGGTGATAGACCCCAAACTCACCTCAGAACTGACCCCATCAGTGACAAACCCCAAACCCACCCCAGAACTGACCCTGCAGGTGACAAACCCCAAGGCCAGCCTGGACTGTCCCCACAGGTGACAAAGCCCAAACTCACCTCAGAACTGTCCCCATGGGCGACAAACCCCAAGGCCAGCCTGGCCTGTCCCCATGTGCAGGTGCTGCCATGCCCCACAGTTTGTGCCCCCTCACCTGTGCTCGCTGCCAGGTGTGCTCTCTGTGCCCCTCACTCCACTCGGTGCCAGGCGGGCTCTCTGTGCCCCCTCACCTGTGCTCGGTGCCAGGTGGGCTCTCTGTGCCCCCTCACCTGTGCTCGATGCCAGGTGGGCTCTCTGTGCCCCCTCACTCGGTGCCAGGTGGACTCTCTGTGCCCCTCACCTGTGCTCGGTGCCAGGTGTGCTCTCTGTGACCCTCACTCTGCTCGGTGCCAGGTGTGCTCTCTGTGCCAGGAGGGCTCTCTGTGCCCCTCACTCAGTGCCAGGCGGGCTCTGTGTGCCCCTCACTCCACTCGGTGCCAGGTGTTCTCTCTGTGCCCCTCACCTGTGCTCGGTGCCAGGTGTGCTCTCTGTGCCCCTCACTCCACTCGGTGCCAGGCGGGCTCTCTGTGCCGTGCCCCCGGGCGCTGTCCCTGTCCCCACTCCCTGCCGAGGGCTGCCGGTCCCAGCTCTGCCCCCGGACCCCCCCAGGCCTCCCGCGGAACCGGGGCCGGCCCTTCCCGCTCCTCACCGCGACCAACCGGGGCAACTCATTCATTTCCGCGCTGCCCCGGCCCCGAGCGCCTCCGGCCTCCCGCGCACCGCCGACCCCTTCAGAACCCCGCGGGGCCCTCCCCTCCTCTCCCCGGTGCCGCTCCCGTTCCCCGCTCTCCGCTCTCCCCGCCGTGCCCGCGCCCGCCCCCCCCACGCCCGTTCCCGGCGCTAGGCCGCGGCGGCGCGGGCGGCGCCTCACCGGTGTGGGGGCGGCTGCGGGGGCCCGGCGCGGTGCGGGGCGCGGCGGGGGCGGGCCGGGAGCGGCGGGGGCGGGCCGGGGCCGGCGGGGCGGCGGCGGCAGAGCGGGACGGGGCGGCGGAGCGGCCTCTACTCGCGGCGGCGCAGGGCGGCCATGGCGTGACGTCATCCGCGCGCGACGCGCCCCGCCGGCGCGACACGGGGGGGGGGGGACGCGCTCCGCTCCTCCCCCCGGTCTTAAAGGGGCCGCGCACGATAAAAGCGGCACAAAGATGTTCACGGAAACATCTCTGTGCGGGGATGGTGGACACCAGTGGGAACGGACACACGGGAACATCTCTGTGCAGGGATGGTGGACACCAGTGGGAACTGACACAGGGAACATCTCAGTGCGTGGATGGTGGACAGCAGTGGGAACTGACACACAGAAACATCTCTGTGCGTGGATGGTGGACAGCAGTGGGAACTGACACACGGAACATCTCTGTGCGTGGATAGTGGACAGCAGTGGGAACTGACACACGGAACATCTCTGTGCAGGGATGGTGGACACCAGTGGGAACTGACACAGGGAACATCTCTGTGCAGGGATGGTGGACACCAGTGGGAACTGACACACAGAAACATCTCTGTGCAGGGATGGTGGACACCAGTGGGAACTGACACAGGGAAACATCTCAGTGCGTGGATGGTGGACACCAGTGGGAACTGACACAGGGAAACATCTCAGTGCGTGGATGGTGGACACCAGTGGGAACTGACACAGGGAAACATCTCTGTGCAGGGATGGTGGACACCAGTGGGAACTGCTTGCCCAGCCCCGTCCCTCCCCGGAGCCCAGCGGGGTGGGCGGGCAGGGGGCGCGGTCGGGAGGAGCCTCTGCCGCAGGTACATAAGGGCAGGTGAGGCTGGACCCTCCGGAGCAGAGCTGAACCTCTCCTTGCAGGTGAGGAACAGGGGAGCTCCTGGCTGGAGATGCCCCGTGGGTGCTCCCATGGGTGTTCCCATGGGTGTCAGGCTCCCACAGCCCTGTCTCACCTTTGTCCCAGCGCTGACTCAAAGCCCTTTACGCAAGATCCCTGCTGGCAGGGGACTCTGGCCAGCCTGGCCCTGGCCAAAGGGCAGCAGCAGCCCCTGTAAATGCAGCGGGGACAGAGCTCAGGCTCACTTTTGTCACTGGCATTGCCAGCGGGGACATCTGCAGCATCAGGGACAGTCAGAAAATCCCCTGAAAATCCCCTGGAGCGGACTTGGACGCGCTGCTGGGAACATCTGAGGTGACAGAACCACTGTCCTTCCTCCCCCAGGCTGCTCCGTGCTGCTGGACCATGGAATACTGCAAATCCCTGCGCCAGCGCCTGGCTGCCCCCGTGTCCAAGTAAGTGTCACATCCCCAGCGCAGGGGACATCCCTCTCGAGGAGGTGCTGGCAGTGCCAGGGGGTTCTGCTGGCTGGCAGAACGTCCCATTCCCTGTGTCCCCTCCCCAGATGTGTCTCAGCCAGCGCCTCCATGACCCAGCAGCTGCTGGCGGGTCCGGCCCCACCGCCACGTCCCTTCCGTGTCTGCAGCTGGGACCGCGGCCTGCGCAAGGGCGTCACGGCCGCCAGCCTGGCCGAGCTGCTGCGCCAGGTCTGTCTGTCCCCTGTGTCTGTCCGGGTTCTGTGTGTCTGTCTGTCCCACCCTGCTGACCCCCAGCCCCTCCGCAGGCTCAGAGCGCCCTGGCGCTGCCCGTGCCCATTGTCCTGGTGCTGGATGAGGATGGCACGGCGGTGGAGACTGAGTCCTTCTTCCGCACGCTGGAGGAGGGCACGGCGCTGATGGCCCTGAGCAAGGGGCAGAGCTGGACGGCCCCCAAGGTGAGGGGACCTCTGGGGAGTCCAGGTGGTGGGACCCAAACTCGCCCCAGGAATGACTCTGCTGGTGACAAGCGCACCCCATGATTGACCCCATGGGTGAAAAACCCCAAACCTGCCCCATGACTGACCCTGTGGGTGACAAACCCCAATATCATTCAGAACTGACCCTGCAAGTGACAAACCTATCCCAGGACTGACCCCACGGGTGACAAATCCCAAACCCACCTCAGAACTGACCCTGTAGGTGATGGACCCCAAACCCACCCCAGGACTCACCCCATGGGTGACAAACCCCAAACCCACCCCACGACTGACCCTGTAGGTGACAAACCTCAATCCCATTCAGAACTGACCCTGCAAGTGACAAACCCATCCCAGGACTGACCCCACGGGTGACAAACCCCAAACCCACCTCAGAACTGACCCCACGGGTGACAAATCCCAAACCCACCCCACGACTGACCCTGTAGGTGACAAACCCCAAACCCACCCCAGAACTGACCCCATGAGTGACAAACCCCAATCCCATTCAGAACTGACCCTGCAGGTGACAAACCCCAAACCCACCCCAGGACTCACCCCATGGGTGACAAACCCCAATCCCATTCAGAACTGACCCTGCTGGTGACAAACCCACCTCAGAACTGACCCCATGGGTGACAAACCCCAAACCCACCTCAGAACTGACCCTGTAGGTGACAAATCCCAAAAATCCCAAACCTGCCCCACGACTGACCCTGTAGCTGACAAACCCACCCCATGACTGACCCCATGGGTGACAAACCCCAAACCCACCTCACAACTGACCCTGTGGGTGACAAATCCCAACCTACCTCAACTGACCCCATGGGTGACAAACCCCAATCCCATTCAGAACTGACCACACGGGTGACAAACCCCAAACCCACCCCACGACTGACCCTGTAGGTGACAAATCCCAAACCCGCCCCACGACTGACCCTGCTGGTGACAAACCCACCCCATGACTGACCCTGCTGGTGACAAACCCACCTCAGAACTGACCCCACGGGTGACAAACCCGAAACTCACCCCACGACTGACCCCATGAGTGACAAACCCCAATCCTATTCAGAACTGACCCTGCAGGTAACAAACCCCAAACCCACCCCAGGACTGACCCTGCAGGTGACAAACCCCAAACCTGCCCCATGACTGACCCTGCAGGTGACAAACCCACCCCAGGACTCACCCCAGGACTGACCCCATGGGTGACAAATCCCAAACCCACCCCAGGACTGACCCTGCTGGTGACAAACCCACCTCAGAACTGACCCCACGGGTGACAAACCCCAAACCCACCCCACGGCTGCCCCCTGAGAGGCAGCTTTGTCCCCTGTATCCCACGCTGGAGCTGGGCTAGGGAGGGTGGAGCGATGGCAGTGCCGCTCTTTGCAGACCCGTGGCTACCAGGCCAGCCTGTCTCGCAAGCCCCCACGCAGGATCGATGTCGCCTGTGTCACTTTTGACCTGTACAAGACCCACCCCAAGGACCTGGGCTGCCTCAACGTCAAAGCCACCCTCTATGGCACCTACAGCATGTCCTACGACCTGCGCTGCCACGGCGCCCGCCGCCTGGTCAAGTGAGTGCCGGGGGGCTGGGGACACTCTGGGACACTCTGGGGACGCTGACCCCTCTCTCCCTGCCCAGGGAAGCCCTTCGCTGGGCGCTGTTCACCATGCAGGCCACGGGCCACGTCCTGCTGGGCACCTCGTGCTACATGCAGCAGCTCCTGGATGCCACCGAGGAGGAGCAGAAGGGAGAGGAGAAGAGCCCCCTGCCCCTCCAGAGCCTCCTGCCCTGCAGCCTCCCCGCCCTGCCCTACAAGAAGATGTCGCAGTGAGGCTGGCTGGCCTGGCCTGTCCCCTCTGCTGTCCCCCAGCCCCCCGCTAGGTCAATGCCTGGGCAGAGGCTGCCGCGGTGCCTGGCACAGCCTCTCCTGCACTCTGCTGGCTGAGTGTGGCCAAATCTGCTCTGGAATAGCTGCTGCTCTGTAAATATATTTATTTAAGTAAAGTTCTCTCTAATTCAGCTGCGTTTTGTGTCGTCTTTGGTGGGGGGGAACACCCAGGGCATTCAGCCCTTGCACTGCTTGGCACCCTGAGCTGGTGGTGCAAGGGGTGCGAGGAGGGGGCCTGTTGCAAGCGCTTCCCCAGGGGTGCTGCTGCTTCATCCTCCTCCTCCCTGGCACCAGAGCCCGGCTCCCACCCCCTGGCACAGAGCCGAGACTCCCCTGGCACTGCAGACACCCACAGAGCAGTGATGGGGCAAACCCCAAAGCCCCTGGCCTGGCAGCTGGCACCACGCCTGTCCTTGCCCCCGTTAAAGGGGTGAAAGATCTCCCTGCTCCTTGTGGCCCTGACTGTGCAGGGCTGGCACAGAGGGACACGGGGGGGTGTTCTGGTCCCTGGGGCAGGGGCACTGTGCCCACCCCAGCCTTGCACAACCCCCGGTCCTGGTGCTGGCCTGGCCAGGTCCAGGGGCATCCCAAGGGCCTGGCAGCTCCAGGGATACCAGCTGGGAAACAAACAGCGCTGGGGGCACTGGGCTCCAGTGACCTGGCCCTTGGGGACTGTCCCTGAGTGTCCCCAGAAAGATCCTGAAGCACCAGCCCTGCTAGAGAGGGGAACTGCCCACTGGGAATACTGGGATAGGCTGTGGGGAGGTGACAAGCTGTGCTCTGGGGGTCCTTAGGGCCATCCTCCCCCAAGTGTCACACTGTGGGGGACACCTGACCTGAGCCACACTCACCTGGGCACCCACGGCAGGGCCTGGAGCTGCAGCCCAGGGACTGCTCCTGGTGCAGAGACCTGAGCCCCACCCGGCACTTAATTAGCTGGATAATTAATGAGCCATCAGCACCAGCTGAGCCCCATCTGAGCACAGAGGTGTGTGACCTCCCCGGGCTGCTCAAGGTGCCACCTGGGGACAGCGTGGGGATGTCATACCCTGCCCCTGCTGTCACCCCCCATGTCCCCATGGCCCGGCCCCTCGGGGTGCCGTGCCAGCCTCCACAGTGTCCCCACCCCACACAGGTGTTTAGCAGACATATTTATTTCTGTACACACTTATACACACGGTTCTCGGGGCAGCTCCATCCTCACTGCCAGGGCTGCCTCCCTCCGTCCAGGGTCCGCTCTGCGATGGGGACACCCCCAGATTTCCTGAGGTGCCGGAGCCAAGCCCGTGCCCCCCACACCCCCACCCCAGCCCCGTAGTGTCTACGGGGAGCAGCCCCCTGCAACCCCCAGGGCAGGGCCATGCACAGTCCTCCTGCCTCAGTTTCCCCCCAGGGCACAGGTGGGGGCTGACCCCCACCTCCAGCGTCCTCACCCCCCAACCTGGGTGAACTTTGGGGCTCCAGATGCCAAAGCTGCCCCGGTGGAGCCTCCTGGTGCGGGGCAGATCCTCCATCACCCCAACCCCTGCACGGGGCGGGTGTCAGGCACCGGTTCCACCCCCATCCCCTGCAGCCCCCGAACGGTGGTGGGGGGCTCCGGGGGGGTTACTTGACGTGCTCAGCGGCGTGGGACGAGCAATAATACTTCTTGTGGGCGATGAAGGTGGACAGGCTGCTGAACCTGATGTTGCAGAGGCGACAGTACCTGTGGTTGCCGTTGGGCATCGCGGTGGGCACAGCCTTGCCCGGGGGTGTCTGCACCCCCCTGTCCGTGTAGGCGGGGGGCGTGGGGGGCTTGCGGGCGGCTTCCCGCAGCGCCTCGGGGGCTGCGGGCGAGGCGGGGGCCCGGGGCGAGCCGGGGGGCCGGGGGCTGTCCCGGCCCTCCTTGGCGGTCAGGCTGTCCCGGCGGAGGCGAGGAGGGGATGCCGCGGGCAGCGGGGGCTCGGGGGTCCCGCTGGCACCGGGCACCGGCGCGTCCGGCAGCCCCGGCCCCGCCGGCGGCTTGGCCACGAAGAGCCCGTGGGCGTTTCGGAAGTGCTCGAGGAGGTCACCCTTGATGGCCCCGTTGAGGGGACAGTAGGGACAGGCGGAGAGGGCACCCTTGGGGTGACGCTGCAGCGAGTCCGCCCCGGGGTACGGCACACCGGGGCTGCCCACCGGGGCCACCCTCAGCCGCACTCCTCCCTCGGGGTCCCCCTCACCGGGGCTACCGGGGCTGTGCCGACCCTTGAGCGGGGTGACCACGGCTCCCTTCATCTTCTGCAGGTGCTCCAGGGTGCGGGGCTGCAGCGGCGTGGCCGGGCACTGGTACTTCTTGTGCGCCAGGTACGCGTCCAGGCTGTTGAAGCTGATGCGGCACGCCGTGCACTCGTGGTAGTCGGCGAGGGGCAGCAGCGGTGCCGGTACCGGTGGCGGTGCCGGTACCGGTGGCGGTTCGCTGTGCCACCGCGGCTTCTTGCTGAGGTCGATGGGACCCTCGGCGTCGGGGCTGGCGCGGGGCTCGGGGATGGGTGGCTCAGTGTGTGGGGGTTCCGTGGCCGGCGGGGGCTCGGTGGGGCGGCGAGCGGCTCCGTGCACCTCGTAGAGTTTGCGGCGTTTGCGGGTGCGCGGCGGCTGCGGCGGGAACGGCGCTTTGGGGGCTGCGGGGCGGCGCAGCGGAGGGTCGTGCCGGGAGGCGCAGTAGAAGCGTTTGTGCACCACGTAGGTCTCGTGGCGGCTGAAGCGGATGTTGCACGCCTCGCACAGCGTCTTGCTGGGGTCCTCATCACCCTCGTCCCCCGCAGAGCTGCCCGGGCTTTGGCTGTCCTCGCTGCACCGCCCCGAGCCCCCCTCCGCCTCGGGGGACCCCGCTTTGGTGCGCCCCTCGTCGGTCTTGCCCTCCGCAGCGCTGCCCGGTGGGCTGGCATCGCGCCCGGTGTCCCCGTCCCCCACCGCCGGGCCCTGCCCGTTGCCCGCCGGGGGGGACAGCAGCGTGCCCGGGGCCAGGGCACCCTTGGGTGCCCCGGGGGGGGCTTTGAGCTTGCGTGCCCCAGGGGAGCCATCCTCGGGCAGGTGCCGGCTGGAGCAGTACAGGCGCTTGTGCACGTAGTAGTTGTTGATGTTGTTGAAGGTGATCTCGCACTCGAAGCAGGTGGCACCCTTGGGCACCGGCGTGCCCGCGTACACGGCGGGTGGCACCGTGCCGCCGTGGCCCTGCTTCAGCCGGCTGTGCACCAGCTCCGACATCTTCGCCAGGATCTCCGAGGCCTGCGGCACCACCGTGGCCTCGTGGCCGAACACGTACTGCGGCAGGAAGACGGTGCCGCCGGCCGTGCCCGTCCCCGGCTCGCTGGGCACGGGGCTGGAGCCCGGCGTGGGGCTGGCGAGCTCCGACTTGACCTTGGCCGAGGACAGGCTGCGGGGGGACGAGGTCCGGGAGCCGGCCTCGGGGCTGCCGGCCCCCTCCCCGCTCCTCGGCACCTCCGCCTCGCTGGCCGGGCTGCCGGCCGGCTCCTCCTTGATGCGCACCTCGCCGCACGTGGAGGACGAGGAGGAGGAGGAGGATGCTGATGAAGGCCCTTCCCCGTTCTGTGGCTGGGCTGGGGGTGAGAGTTTGCCGGCCCTGGGGTCGGGGGGCGAGGCGGGCGGTGCCGGTGCCGGTGCCGGTGCGGTGTCGGGGCTGGGCAGCACCATGTGCTGTGGCAGGGCTGGCAGTGCCTCGGGCAGGAACGCGCCCAGGCTGCACTTCCGAAGGGACGCGTTGTTCGGCTGGCTCAGCCCTGCGGGGGGACAGAGGTGACAGCGTCATCGGCAGCCCTGGCACAGGGGTGATCAGCACCGGCATCACCGGGAACACTGGCACGGGGATGATCAGCACCGGCATCACCGGGAACACCGGCATCACCGGGAACACCGGCACAGGGAAAGATCAGCACCGACATCATCGGGAACACCAGCATCACCAGGAACACCATCACGGGGATGCTGCCCTGTCCCACACCCCCAGAGCAGGATCCTCACCCCATTCCCTGTCCCACACATCCTGGCAGAGAGATGCTCGCCCTGTCCTTTTCCCAACACCCCTGGCACAGGGATGCTGCTCTGTTCCCCATTCCCAACACCTGGCACAGGGACCGTGACCCATCCCCACCACCCTTCCCACCACCAGACCCAGCTGGGGACAAGCCCTCGGTGACAATGCTATCCTGTGCGTGTCCCCCGCGGCCGCAGCCCCAGCACTCACCAGGAGCGAGGGGTTTGGCAGCAGGAAGGGCCGATCCAGGTGAGAACACCTCACCCTTGGAGCCCGGCTGGCAGATCATGTGGTTGGTGACCAGGTGGCTGTACAGGATGTCCCTGGTGGTGGAGATGAAGCCGCAGCTGTGGCAGACACCTGAGGGGACAGAGCATAGCGGGCTGAGCGGGAAGGACAGTGGCCATCCATCCCTGGGAGGGGACAGGGCTGTCCCCAGGGCACACTCACCGTTCAGGGTGTCCGTGTGCACCTTCAGGTGCCGCTCGCAGTTGGCCTTGGTGGTGAAGGCGGACAGGCAGATCAGGCAGACGAACGGCCGCTCTCCTGCCGGACAGACGGACACTCAGCACTCAGGGGAGGGGACAGGGACTGTGGGGACACCCACAGTGCCAGCTCCCTCTGTCTCTATGGCTCTGAGATGGGGGAATGTTGAAGACTACCTTAGGTGGCTTCGTGTGGTGGAAAAACTTCTAACTTATGCTTCTAAAGAAAGGCTTAGCAGTTTCTTGTTTGGTTTTATGGTTGTTTATTGTAAGTTAGCTAAAAGATTGGTTTTTTTGGGCTGCTGCGGTTTGCTCAGCAGCTCAGGTAAAGGTACACACACCTTTGACATCTTTTTTGTTTGCTGGTTTTTTCTTTTTTTTTTCTGCTTTTGGTTGCTGTTATTTTTTTATATGCTATATTACGTGCTATATGTTTATAGATTTCTTTAATATTTATTATTTATATTAAATGGTGTTTTTTAAAATTTTAAATTAATTTGTGAATGTTAACATTACTAAAAACATGGAGGTAAGGAAGAAGAAAGAGGAAGGACAGGACTGGCTAAAATCTTTCTATTTTGAAACTTTTGACCCCCATGTATAAAACTAAAACCCCGCTGGATAAGCATAAAAC